GTCGAGAAAGCCTACGAATGCAAGCAACAACACACAAAAGGCAACAAGAAGGCACACAAATTAGACAAAAGGTAACTTGTATTGCATTAATCAGTGGTAAGCATAAGCACACAATACAGTGTCAAGGGGATCTCGTGCTTAACCTTTACACGCTTATGAACTCACTCGACTACCTACCTCCCCTCAAAGAGTACGTTAAGCTTTTGGGGGAGTGACAATAGGAAACATCAAAAGGATGAAAAATCATACTATGTATTTACAATAACGCCATTGGCGGTCCCCCCTTACAAAATACATGCATAGCCCACCCATGACACACATGTTGACACCTTGAAGGCACGCGGTTGGCACTCTGACGGCTCATGGTAGGTGCTTGATGGCACGGCGAAGGAGTCACTCGTGACAACTAGGCAGCTCGCCACCAAGCAGCTTGCCACTAGGCAGCTCACCACCAGGCAGCTCGCCTCCTAGTCAGACCGACCACCGCATGACAACCCCGAGGAGCTCACCACCGTACCCCGCGTTTTACAGGATTGTGACTTGTAACGGCTGTATTAGCTCACCCACTCCCCGATTTAGGTGGAAATGGGCAACCTTACCGGTTGGTGGCTTTATGCCCACCTAACACGAAAGCAGGTCCCATCACAGCGGGAATCCAGGAACTCCACCAAACTCACAAGGACTCCGGTATATAAGGACCTCACCCCCTAGGGGCGAAGGGAGGATGATGCGAGAAAAGGTATGCGAGAGAAGGTATGATGAGGAGGAGGGAAATGAAGAGGTGGTAACCCCTTCTCTCTAGCTCTCTAATTCTCTAATATCATTCTCAGCTCACAACTAAGTGCTAACTTAGCCATCGGAGTGACCTCGTCGGGTAAACACCCCCGGGTTCTCTGATTCAGTTCTTGCAGGTTCCTCAGTTCCCACCGTCTACAAAGATGAGCAGGTCATCTCCTGCAGGGAGGATGGGTTCCTCAGTTCCCGCCGTCTATAAAGATGAGCGGGTCATCTCCTACAGGGAGTAGCCGGGTTGCGCTACGCTAGGGAGCTCCACTTCAGCCTCTGAGTCATCGGCCACTTGGGAGTAGACGAGGTGGCGAGGTACTTAGCCAAAAAAAAATGATACTTGACCAGAAAATGTTACATCAATTGGCGTCGTCTGAGGGAACTACTACAAAAAGCTAAGTTCTCATCCTACAAAAAGCTAAACCCTCACCTTTTAGAAACTGAAGCTCTCGCATTACGAGGCGGATGCAGCGCAATCATAGCTCTAAGGCGCCCACTTGGCAGCCTGGCAGCCTGGCCCAGGCGCGAACTGACAAATTGATAAAAGACTTCCTCATCACTTAAGACCCAGTTGCCTCTTCGGCATGGGCAAAGTCCAGGAGTGGACTACGAGTCGCTCCCAAAGCCTAAGAGCTACAATACTACTTAAGACCCAGTCGCCTCTTCGGCATGGGCAAAGTCCAGGAGTGGACTACGAGTCGCTCCCAAAGCC